AATCGATTGTAAAAGGTATCGAACATAAAAAGGGATAGCAAAAAAATCAAATCAAGAAAGCAACCCTTAAAAAAAAAATCGATTGTAAAAAGGACGGTAAAAAATAGTACATTTTAAAAATAGTCGTTTATTATTAAAAATAATCAATTGTAAAAAATAATATTAAAAAAGGATCAACTCTAAAAAGAATGGGTTGTAACAAAAATCGATTGTAAAAAATATTCGATAGTAAACATAATCGATTGTGGAACGTATCAAATGTAAAATATCGACAGTAAAAAGAATCGACTGTAAAAAATATCGATTACAGAAAAGAATTAATTGTAAAAAAAAGGAACAAAGTAAAAAAAAACAAGTTAGAAAAATTCGGTTGCATAAAAGAATCGAATGTAAAAAGAATCGACTGTAAAAAGAATTCGTTGGTAAAAATAATCGATTGTAAAAAATATTGAATGTTAAAATAGATAGTAATAACGATTTTAAAAAGTAGTGACTACAAAAAAAGATTTAATCGCAAAAAAAGAATCCATTGTAAAGGATAAAGGATCTATTGTAATAAGAATCAACCATAAAAAAATACGTTAAAAAAATAATCGATAATAAAAGGTATCGAATATAAAAAATGATTTGTAGAAAGTGGCGATTGCAAAAAAAAGAATCGATTGTAAAAAGGAATGTAAAAAAGAATCCATTATAAAAATAGTCGATTATTATTAAAAAAGAATCAATTGTAAAAAATAAATGTTAAAAAAAGGATCGATTCTAAAAGGAAGGGTTGTAACAAAAATCGATTGTAAAAAGATTCGATAGTAAACATAATCGATTGTGGAACGTATGGAATGTAAAAAATCGACAATAAAAAGAATCAAAAGTAAAAAATATCGATTACAAAAGCGAATTAATTATAAAAAAGGATTAAAGTAAAAAAAAATGAAGTTGAAAAAATCGCTTGTAAAAAAAGAATCGTCTGTAAAAAATATCGAATATTAAAATAAATAGTGAAAACGATTTTAAAAAGTAGCGATTACAAAAAAGATTTAATCGTAAGAAGGAAACTATTGTAAATAGAATCAATTGTAAAGATAAAGGATCTATTGTAATAAGAATCGACCATAAAAAAATATGTTGGAAAAATAATCGATTATAAAAGGTATCGAATATAAAAGGATAGTAAAAAAAATCAATTGTAGAAAGCAGCGATTGCAAAAAAAAGAATCGATTGTAAAAAGGACTGTAAAAAAAATTACACTACAAAAATAGTCGATTATTGAAAACGAATCATTTGTAACAAATAATAAAAAAAGGATCGACACTAAAAAGAATGGGTTGTAACAAAAATTGATTGTGGAACGTATTGAATGTAAAATATCGACAGTAAAAATATCGATTACAAAAAAGAATTAATTGTAAAAAAAGGATCAAAGTAAAAAACCGAAGTTAAATAAATTGGTTGTAAAAAAAATTGATTGTAAAAAAAAGACGTTAAAAAATCCGTTGTAAAAAGAATCGGCTGTAAAAAGAATCGACTGTAAAAACAATTCTTTTGTAAATATAATCGATTGTAAAAAATTTCTAATGTTAAAAGAGACAGTAAAAACGATTTTAAAAAGTAGCGATTACAATGAAAGAATTGATGAAAAAATCCATTGTAAAAATAAAGGATCTATTATAAAAAGAATCGACCATAAAAATATGTTGTAAAAAGTATCGAATCTAGAAACGGACAATAATTTTAAAAAATAATCTTATAAAAAGAATCAACTCTAAAAAGAATGAATTATAATAAAAATCGATTGTAAAAAGATTCGATAGTAAACATAATCGATTGTGAAACGTATCAAATATAAAAAGTCGACAATAAATAGAATCGACTAAAAAAAGATTTGGTTTGTAAAAAATATCGAATATAAAAATGGAAAGTAACAAACCTATTTTAAAAAGTAGTGATTGCAAAAGAAGAACTGATTGTAAAAAAATAGGCTTAAAAATTAAAAAAAGAAAGGTCCTTCAAATTTTACAAACCACAAACCAACTCATACATGGCTACTCGCAAGTTTAAAAAATAGGCGATTTAAAAAGAATCCATTGTAAAAATAAGAATTTATTCTAAAAACTTGACTATAAAAAATAATCGATTATAAAAACAAATAGTAAAAAATCATACATAAAAAGTAGCTATAACCAAAAAATTGATTGTAAAAAAGGACTGTTAAAAAGAATTCATTGTAAAAATCATCGATTGTTGAAAAAGAATCGATTTTAAAAAATAAAGTCATAAAAGGATCGATTCTAAAAAATCAATAGAAAATTTTCGATTGTAAACATAATAGATTGTGAGATATATCAAATGTAAAAAATCGACAGTAAAAAGTATCGACTGTAAAAAGAATCAACAGTAAAAAAGAATTGGTCGTAAGAGAATCGATTGTAAACAAGAATCAATTGTAAAAAGTAGCGATAACAAAAAAAAAATGAACGAAAAAAAATTGATTGTAAAAAGGACTGCAAAAAGAATCCATTGTAAAAATCATCGATCGTTGAAAAAAAATCGATTTTAAAAAATAAAGTCATAAAGGGATCGATTCTAAAAAATCAATTGTAAAAATAGTCGATTATAAACATAATCGAATGTAAAAAAAAATCAACAGTAAAAAGTATCGACTGTAAAAAGAATCAATAGCAAAAAAGAATTGGTCGTATAAGAATCAATTGTAAACAAGAATCAATTGTAAAAAGTAGCAACAACAAAAAAAAATTGATCGTAAAAAATTGATTGTAAAAAGGACTGCAAAAAGAATCCATTGTAAAAATCATCGATCGTTGAAAAAAAAATCGATTTTAAAAAACAAAGTCATAAAGAGATTGATTCTAAAAAATCAATTGTAAAAATAGTCGATTATAAACATAATCGAATGTAAAAAAAATCAACAGTAAAAAGTATCGACTGTAAAAAGAATCAATAGCAAAAAAGAATTGGTCGTATAAGAATCAATTGTAAACAAGAATCAATTGTAAAAAGTAGCAACAAAAAAAAATTGATTGTAAAAAGGACTCCATTGTAAAAATCATCGATTGTTGAAAAAGAATCGATTTTAAAAAATAAAGTGATAAAGAGATCGATTTTAAAAAATCAATTGTAAAAATAGTCGATTATAAACATAATCGAATGTAAAAAAAAATCAACAGTAAAAAGTATCGACTGTAAAAAGAATCAATAGCAAAAAAGAATTGGTCGTATAAGAATCAATTGTAAACAAGAATCAATTGTAAAAAGTAGCAACAAAAAAAAATTGATTGTCAAAAGGACTGCATAAAAGAATCCATTGTAAAAATCATCGATTGTTGAAAAAGAATGGATTGTAAATAATAATGTTAATAGTAAAAAAAATCGGTCGTAAAAAGGATTGATTGTAAAAAGAAGTAATTGATAAAAAAAAATCGACTGTAAAAAGAATCCTTTATAAAAATAATCAATTGTAAAAAGAGATACGGTAAATGAATCGTTTGTAAATATAATCGATTGTAAAAATTGACAGTTAAACAGGATCTATTGTAAAAAGAATAGACTATAAGAAGAACATATAAAAATAATCGAAGGTAAAAGTATTCAATGTAAAAAATCGACATTAACATTAACAAGAATCGATTAGATTAAGTGCAAAATAACTAGACCTAAAAAGAACCGATTGTAAATAAAAGGATCCATTGCTAAAAAAAATAGTCGATTTTAAAACGTATTGAATGTAAAATACCGACAGTAAAACGAAAACTATAAAAAATATTGATTCCAAAGGTAAATCAATTGTAAAAAGAATCGATGATTAAAAATGAAAATATTTTAAAAGGAAGTCGTTTGTAAAAAGTATCGCATTTAAAAATGGACAGTAAATATTTTGTAAAAAGTAGCGAAATAGAATTAAAAAAAAGAATTGTAAAAAATAATCTATTTTTGAAAACTAATCGATTGTAAGAACGATCAACTGTAAAAAGAATCGAGTGTAGTAATGATAAACTATAAAAAAGAATCGATTGTAAAGCATATTGAATATAAATACCGACTGTATAAATAAAGAAATCGAGTGTAAAAATAGTTGTAAAGAGATATCTGCACTAAAAAGAATGAACGTAAAAAAATATCTATTGTAAAAAGAAAATAATGTAAAAATAATCGATTGTAAAAAGTAACCAACGTAAAAAGAATCGAATAGATGAAGTAGTAAGTTACGTCTTTGAGTGAAAATCGTAACAAACCAGACTTAAAAAAGAACCGATTGTAAATAAAAGAATCCAATGTTAAAAGAATAGACTAAAAAATCCATTGTAAAATAGAATAGATTGTAAAAAGAGTCGATTATAAAAAGAATTGATTGTAAAAAGAATCGATTGTAAAAAGTAAGGAATCGATTCCAAAAATGAATCAATTTTGCTTAAAAATACAAAAATATACGAAACTATTTATGGAAAATTATGTTTATTTTAAATTGAAAGAATATCGAGTCTTATTGAAATATATTTACATATTAAAAGTGACAAAATTATGTCCAAAAACGAATCGTATTAGATTTAAAATGTGCCAATTTTCGCTAATTAACTAAACAAAATAAAAAATATATATATACAGATTGGATATAAGAAATACAATCAATTGTAAAACGTATCGAATGTAAAAAGTAAATATTGTAAAGAAAGTATGTATTGTAAAAATAATCAGTTGTAAAATGAATCGATTGTAAAAAGAATGGTATGGAAAGATTCCGATGTAAAAAAGAATTATTTGTTAGAAAGAATTGACTGTAAAAAGAATAAGTTGTAAAAAGAAATAGTTTGTAAAAAGAATCGATTGTAAAAAAACATCGATTGTAAAAAAATTGTAAAAAGAATAAACTAAAAAGAATCCATTGTAAAAAAAATTAGTCATTAGATTTATATTTTCCCACCACCAAAGCAGATCCAAAGGCTGGTTAAAATTTTTATACCTACGAACAAATCATTACACTCACAAAATTTTTGTCCCGTATCAACGATCGTGGACGTCGAATAGTTCTGTACGAGATCCTTGAGGTACTCTTGTCGCGTCCTCGTCGCCATCGTGACGAATTTTTCGGAACGGTGAGCGGCATTTTCGGCGTTCACCACTTTGGCTAGGAGGAATTCCGCGAACACCTTACCTTTGGGAAAGATGGCGCCCTCTTTAATGGGCGGACCGAACACTTCGACGTCTTTCGATCGACTTACGGCTACCTGGAAACACGAAAAAAACGGTTTATTAACAAAAACATCGCAGACAAGATTATCATCGTGTCATATAAGTCAAAGAGCCATCAAAAAACGTCATTCTTGGATCGATGGTCAAAAGAATCGAGTAAAAAAATCGACTGTAAAGGAAGTCGATTGTAAAGAAAATCGATTGTAAAAACAATTTGTAAAGAAAGTCGATTGTAAAAAAAAAAGAAATTCGATTGTAAAGAAAGTCAATTGTAAAGAAATTCGATTATAAAGAAAGTCGATTGTAAAGAAATTCGATTATAAAGAAAGTCGATTGTAAAGAAAGTCGATTGTAAAAAGAATCGATTGTAAAAAGAGTCGATTGTAAAAAAATTGATTGTAAAATGAGTAGATTGTAAAAAAGTAGAATGTAAATAGAGTCGATTGTAAAGAAAGTCGATTGTAAAAAGAGTCGACTGTAAAAAAGAGTCGATTGTAAAAAGAATTGATTATAAAAAGAATCTATTGTAAAAAGTAAGGAAGGAATCGATTCCAAAAATGAATCAGTTTTGTTTAATTAAAACACCTACAAAAATATAAGAAACTATTTATGGAAATATTGTTTATTTTACATTGAAGGAATATAAACGACTATAAAGTGATAATAGTAAAAAAGAATCGATTGTAAAACATATCGATTTAAAAAATTAATTATAAAAAAATGTTTGTAAAAAAAAGAGAAACTAAGAGAAAAGATAATAAAAAATAAAGAATCGATTATAAAAAAAAATCAATTATGAAAAAAGAATTGATAGTAAAAAGAATCGATTGTAAAAAGAATAGATCGTAAAAAAAATCAATTATGAAAAATACTTGGTAAACAAATTGAATGTAAAGTGTAAAAAGGAATCGATTTTAAACAAGTTCAGTTGTAAAAAAAAATAAAGAATCAATTGTAAAAAGAAGAATCGATTCTATTGCATTTGGCCGATTTTTTGTATAATATTTATAATTATAAAAAGAACCAATGTTAAGATTCGATAGTAACAAAATAATTTATCCTAAAAAATAATTATATATTCCGATTTAAAAAATAATTAATTGTAAAAAAGAAATAATCGATTGTAAAAGGAAGAAACGATTATAAATTATTGTAAAAGTGTCGATTTAAAGAAAAAAATAATAGTAAAATAATCGACTGTAAAAAGAATCGATTAAAAAAGTATATATTTGTAAAAAATCGATTATAAAAAGAATGTATTAATGTCTTAAAGACAGAATCGATTGTAAAAAATCATCTGTAAAAAATCGACTGTAAAGTCTATAAAAAATTCTTGTTTAAAAAATAAAATTGTAAAAAGAATTAATTGTAAAAAAAGAAGCGATTGTAAATAAAAGAATTGATTATTAAAACAAATGGTAGATTATTATAAAAAGAGTAGTGTCCAATAAAAACTAATCAATTGTAAAAAGAATTGAACGTGAAAAATCCATTGTAAAAAATCGACTGTAAAGATCAGATTTAAAAAAAGTCAATTGTAAAAATATTTGTAAAATATTCGTAAAAATCTTAGTAAATCTGTCTTTGTAAATCTTTGTAAAGCTTTGTAAATATTTGTAAATATTTGTATATCTTTGTAAATCTTTGTAAATCTTTGTAAATCTTTGTAAATCTTTGTAAATCTTTGTAAATCTTTGTAAATCTTTGTAAATCTTTGTAAATCTTTGTAAATCTTTGTAAATCTTTGTATATCTTTGTAAATCTTTGTAAATCTTTGTAAATCTTTGTAAATCTTTGTAAATCTTTGTAAATCTTTGTAAATCTTTGTAAATCTTTGTAAATCTTTGTAAATCTTTGTAAATCTTTGTAAATCTTTGTAAATCTTTGTAAATCTTTGTAAATCTTTGTAAATCTTTGTAAATCTTTGTAAATCTTTGTAAATCTTTGTAAATCTTTGTAAATCTTTGTAAATCTTTGTAAATCTTTGTAAATCTTTGTAAATCTTTGTAAATCTTTGTAAATCTTTGTAAATCTTTGTAAATCTTTGTAAATCTTTGTAAATCTTTGTAAATCTTTGTAAATCTTTGTAAATCTTTGTAAATCTTTGTAAATCTTTGTAAATCTTTGTAAATCTTTGTAAATCTTTGTAAATCTTTGTAAATCTTTGTAAATCTTTGTAAATCTTTGTAAATCTTTGTAAATCTTTGTAAATCTTTGTAAATCTTTGTAAATCTTTGTAAATCTTTGTAAATCTTTGTAAATCTTTGTAAATCTTTGTAAATCTTTGTAAATCTTTGTAAATCTTTGTAAATCTTTGTAAATCTTTGTAAATCTTTGTAAATCTTTGTAAATCTTTGTAAATCTTTGTAAATCTTTGTAAATCTTTGTAAATCTTTGTAAATCTTTGTAAATCTTTGTAAATCTTTGTAAATCTTTGTAAATCTTTGTAAATCTTTGTAAATCTTTGTAAATCTTTGTAAATCTTTGTAAATCTTTGTAAATCTTTGTAAATCTTTGTAAATCTTTGTAAATCTTTGTAAATCTTTGTAAATCTTTGTAAATCTTTGTAAATCTTTGTAAATCTTTGTAAATCTTTGTAAATCTTTGTAAATCTTTGTAAATCTTTGTAAATCTTTGTAAATCTTTGTAAATCTTTGTAAATCTTTGTAAATCTTTGTAAATCTTTGTAAATCTTTGTAAATCTTTGTAAATCTTTGTAAATCTTTGTAAATCTTTGTAAATCTTTGTAAATCTTTGTAAATCTTTGTAAAATACTTTGTTTAAAGTACCAATAGTAAAAAAATCGATTGTAAAAATTGACTGTAAAGTGCTAATATTAAAAAAGAATCGATTATAAAAATCAACTTGAAAGTGTTAATAGTAGAAGAGAATCGATTTTAAAAAGTATCGATAAAAAAAACAATTGTGAAAAAAAATGTTTGTAAAAAGTTAAAAAAAAACATAAACTAAGAGAAAAGATTGTAAAAAAGAAAGAATCGATTATAAAAAAGATTCTATTAATAAAAAATTAGTAATAAAAATTGAAAAAACGGAACGCTAATGCACTAGTATGACTTATTGTTATAATTGTAAAAAATAATCAATGTTAAAAAAGAATCGATTATAAAAAAATAATTGTAAAAAATCATTGATTCAAAAAAATCGAATGTAAAAAAACTAATAAGTGTAAAAGAATCGATAAAAAAGTATCTATTGTAAAAATAATCGATTATAGAAAGAATCGATTGTGAAAAAACTTATGAAAAATATTTGCTGTAGAGCGTAAAAAAATCGATTTAAAAAATTTCTATTTGAAAAATAAAGTGAAATTGTAAAAAAGAATCAATTGTAAAAAAGAAGAACCAATTGTAACTAAAAGAATCGATTATTAAAAGAAATGCTGGATTGAAAAAAAAGTAGCGTTCATTAAAAACTAATCATTTGTAAATAAAACTGATTGTGAAAAATCCATTGTAAAAAATTGACTGTAACTAACAGATTTAAAAAAACAATCAATTGTAAAAATATTTGTAAAAATCTTTATAAAAATCTTTATAAAAATCTTTATAAAAATCTTTGTAAAAATATTTTTGTTAAAAACTTTGCAAAAAGTATCATTAGTAAAAAAATCGATTGTAAAAGTCGATTGTAAAGTTCAAACAATATTAAAAGAAAATCGATTATAAAAATCGACTGTAAAGTGTTAATAGTAAAAAAGAATTGATTGTAAAAAGTATCGATTATGAAAAAAATTAAAACAGTTAAAAAACTAAGAGAAAAGATTGTAAAAAAGAAAGAATCAATTGTAAAAAGAAAGATCGATTATAAAAAGGATTTGATTGATAAAAAAAATAGAAAAAAAAAAATTAAAAAACGGAACGTTAATGCACTAGTATGACTTGCACTTTTGTGCACCGATTTATTGTATAATATTTATAATTTATAATAATAATAATAATACTCTCCCTAATTCACCCCCTTACGAGTGAATTTCAACCCCTGAAGTCGACTGAACGACTTGTGTAGGGGAAGGGACGGCCATTATTATTATTTGCCGTAGCGCTCCGGGGCGACTTAAAGATGATTGATGGTGCCATTTGACTTACAGGTGAGGAAAACCCGGAAAACCTCACCCACCATCATAAAACCTCACCCACCATCAATTTAATTGTAAAAAAAGAATAAATATTAAAAAAAGAATCGATTGTAAAAAAATAATTGATTGTATAAAATCATTAATTTAAAAAAATCGAATGTAAAGAAACTCATAAGTGTAAAAGAATCGATAAAAGACTATCTATTCGTAACAAAATCGATTATAGAAATAATCAATTGTAAAAAATCCTTTCTGAAAAATAATTTGTAAAACAATTACTTTAGAGCGTAAAAAAATTGCCATTTAAAAAATAATCAATTGTAAAAAAATAAAAAAAGATTGTAAAAAAAGAAAGAATTGATTTTTAAAAGGAATAATCGATGTTAAAAAATAATTAATTGTAAAAAAATTATTGATTATAAAAAAATCAATTGTAAAAAAAAAATAGATTGTTAAAAGTGGCAATTTAAAGAAAAACTAGAAATTGTAAAATAATCGATCATAAAAGTATCTATTTGTAAAAGAATCCATTATAAAAAGAACCGATTGAAAAAGTAATCGATTGTAAAAAATCCTTTAAAAAATCGACTGTAAAAAGTAAAAAAGAATCGATTGTGCAAAATCAACTATAACAAATCGATTTAAAAAAATTCAGTTTAAAAAAATAATTGTAAAAAAAGAAATGATTGTATAAAAAAGAAAGAATCGATTTTTAAAAGGAATAATCGATTATAAAAAAAGCGATGTTAAAAAAATCGATTGTAACAAAAAAGAATCCATTATAAAAAGAACCGATTGAAAAAGTAATCGATTGTGAATAATTGGCTGTAAAAAGTAAAAAAGAATCGATTGTGAAAAATCATCTGTAACAAATCGACTGTAAAGTGTAAAAAAGAATCGATTTAAAAAATTCAGGTTTAAAAAATAAACAATTGCAAAAAAGATTATATGATTAAAAAAGATAGTAAAAAAATAATAAAAAAAAAATAGTTAAAAAATAGTCAAAAAATTTGCGCTAGTACGACTTGCACTTGTTTAATATTTATAACTTGATTTTTGAATTTGAAATTCCCCCATTACTGAGATATATTTTTGGTTGCAAATCAATATCAATAAATATTTTTAAATATAAATGTAAACTAAATATCTACTCTATCATTTTAGATCACCATTCACCAATAGTTTTACTTCATAAATTTTGTCTATATCACAATATACGCATTTTAAAACAAAAAAAATAATGATTTACTTACCTTATAATGTGTATTTTCCGTACAAGGATTAATAGCGTGGACCACTATAAAAACGTGTTGGAATTGAGATCGTATGCCTTTCGGAGTGAAAGGAAGAGCACCAGGTTCTTGGAAGACGATGGTGACAATGTCATTGCCAATGTGACGTTTCCTCAATAGTTGTTGTCGATTATTGGGCGTGAACGGAAGCATCGTCGATACGTGAAACATAATTTCACACTCTTGGTACTGAGCGTACACCGAGTACAAACCGGTGGAATCGGCTAAAAATTTTATGTTTCATAGAAAATAAAATAGGAATTTGAAATGTGTGAGTCAATAATTTAGTAATGTATTTATATTTTCTAAATTGTTTGTATGACATATTATTATTTTTTAGATTCTGTGTAAGGAATTTCTTGTGATAAGGTTTAGTCTAATCAATTTGGAGGAAATAGAGGAATTTTTGATATAAGTCACCTTTCTAATATTTGAAAACGATATGTGAAAAAAATTTTGTTTTTCAGGCCTCGGCAAATGGCGTTTTTTAAGGTTATTTAAAAACGGTAGGTGCTACAAAAAAAATTCTTAATAAAAATTGTAAAGCATAAAGTTCTACATAAAAATTATATTTAGCATTTTTTGCTATTATTAAAAGTAAAAGAGTTACGAGTGGTTACAAGTTAAGAATAGATATATATGACTTTAAAACATCATAGTGAGCTGAAAATTCAGTGATTTTTTAGTTTCTTTTTGTTATTTACTAAGAAAAATATAAACTTTCTTTTAAGAAATTTTTTTTTTATTATATTTTTAAATTTTTAAAGTGAACTTATTATGGCTTGCCTAACATGAAAAATATGAGGAGTAAACGACATCGCGACAGTTTAGTCCCCATTTAGAGTTCCATTAAATAAAAATATAAGAAAAAATTAAAATAAAAAAATATAAAAATAAATTAAAAAAAAATGTCATAAAAAATATAATTCAACAGTTCTGTTTAAAATAAATTCGAATATATCTAAAAAAAATCAAATATCCATATTCTTTTCTGCTGCTAAAAAATATCTAGAAACACATTAAAAAAAATATATTAAAAATTAACAAACGCATTTTTCATTACAATTTTTGATAATGTATTTTAATATAAAAATAGTAATTTCAGTTTATTATAAGTAAACCTGTTTTGTTTTAATTTTAAAGTTTCTCAACATATTTTAAAAAAATTGGAACTCAAGTAAGTGCCTATTTTTCATCAGATGAAGTGGTATTTATTTTATTTTTTTAGTTTTATTTATTTGTATTTTATTTATATATTTATTTTTATTTACTTTTATTTATTTTTTTTTAATTTTTATTTTTGTTTGTTATATTTATCTTTACTTTCTTTTATTTTAATTATTTTTAATAATTTTATTTTTTTATTTTTATTTATTTTTATTCATTTTTATTGATTTTTATTGATTTTTATTGATTTTTATTGATTTTTATTAATTTTAATTAATTTTTATTAATTTTTATTAATTTTTATTAATTTTTATTAATTTTTATTAATTTTTATTAATTTTTATTAATTTTTATTAATTTTTATTCATTTTTATACATTTTTAATAATTTTTAATAATTTTTAATACTTTTTATTAATTTTTATTAATTTTTATTAATTTTTATTCATCTTTATTCATCTTTATTCATCTTTATTCATTTTTATTCATTTGTATTCATTTTTATTCATTTTTATTCATTTTTATTCATTTATATTCATTTTTATTCATTTTTATTCATTTTTATTCATTTCTATTCATTTTTATTCATTTTTATTCATTTTTATTCAGTTTTATTCATTTTTATTCATTTTTATTAATTTTTATTCATTTTTATTCATTTTTATTCATTTTTATTCATTTTTATTCATTTTTATTCATTTTTATTCATTTTTATTCATTTTTATTCATTTTTATTCATTTTTATTCATTTTTATTCATTTTTATTCATTTTTATTCATTTTTATTCATTTTTATTCATTTTTATTCATTTTTATTCATTTTTATTCATTTTTATTCATTTTTATTCATTTTTATTCATTTTTATTCATTTTTATTCATTTTTATTCATTTTTATTCATTTTTATTCATTTTTATTCATTTGTATTCATTTTTATTCATTTTTATTCATTTTCATTCATCTTTATTCATTTTTATTCATTTTTATTCATTTTTATTCATTTTTATTCATTTTTATTCATTTGTATTCATTTGTATTCATTTTTATTCATTTTTATTCATTTTTATTCATTTTTATTCATTTTTATTCATTTTTATTCATTTTTATTCATTTTTATTCATTTTTATTCATTTTTATTCAGTTTTATTCATTTTTATTCATTTTTATTCATTTTTATTAATTTTTATTCATTTTTATTCATTTTTATTCATTTTTATTCATTTTTATTCAGTTTTATTCATTTTTATTCATTTTTATTCATTTTTATTCATTTTTATTCATTTTTATTCATTTTTATTCATTTTTATTCATTTTTATTCATTTTTATTCATTTTTATTCATTTTTATTCATTTTTATTCATTTTTATTCATTTTTATTCATTTTTATTCATTTTTATTCATTTTTATTCATTTTTATTCATTTTTATTCATTTTTATTCATTTTTATTCATTTTTATTCATTTTTATTCATTTTTATTCATTTTTATTCATTTTTATTCATTTTTATTCATTTTTATTCATTTTTATTCATTTTTATTCATTTTTATTCATTTTTATTCATTTTTATTCATTTTTATTCAGTTTTATTCATTTTTATTTGTTTTTATTTATTTAATGGAACTTAAAGTAGGGACTAAACTGTCGCGATATCGTTTTTATTAGTTCACTCCTCATATTTTGCATGTCAGGCAAGCCATAATAAGTTCACTTAAAAATTGGTTTTCGTATATAAAGTTGTATAATATATTGAAAATTTATAACAAATTTTTTTTTTGAAAAGAAAGTTTATATTTTTCTGAATAAATAATAAAAAGAAACCAAAAAAGCATATACAGTGTGTCCGGGAAAATGTGAGAGGTTTCTCGGATTCAGATAGAACATTAAAAAATAAGATTTAATATTAGCGAAAAATGTTAAATATAAAACTTTTTGCTTTACAATAATTCTTATTAAGAAAATAAACTCAAAAAACACATCATTTTTCTTGTTTTCGTCATTTTTCGAGGGCTGAAATAATTTTTTTCAAGTCCACCGTGTATAAACATTTTTTGTAAATCGATCCAGAAAAAAAAATTATTTAGACCATTATCTTAGGATTCACATTTTATTCTGAATAAAAATATAACTCAAAAGTATATTATATTTTATTTTGAGGTCACAGTAAAAGTTGTAAGTAGCAGTGGGCAAAATATTAGATTAATCGATCAGTCGATTTTTGAAATCAATTAATTGTGATTAATCGATTTTTTATTAATCGATAATTCGATTATTTTCTATTAATCGATTATTTTCGATTAATCGACTATTTTCGATTAATAAATTAATCGATTATAGAAAGAATCGACTGTAAAAAATCCTTTGTAAGAAATGATTGTAAATCGTAAAAAACAAATCAATTGTAAAAAAGAAAGAATCGATTGTAAAAGGAATGGATTATAAAAAAGAATCGACTGTTAAAAAATAGTAAAAATAATCTAAATAGTACGACTTACACTTGGCCGATTTATGGTATATACATAGATTGTAAAAAAACAGAACCGATGTTAAAAATGAATCGATGGTAAAAAAAAATATTGATGAAAAGATCGACTGTAAAAAAAATAGATTGTTAAAAAAGCCGATTAAAAAAATAAATAAATAATTAGGTGTCGATTTAAAGAAAAACTAATAATTGTAAAATAATCGATCAAAAAAGTATTTATTTGTAAAAGAATCGATTATAAAAAGTATCGATTAAAGAAGGAATCGATTGCGAAAAATTGACTCTAAAGAGTAAAAAAAATCGAAATAAAAAAGATTAGATAATTAAAAAAAATAATTTAAAATCGATTATTTTCGATTGATTGATTATTTTCGATTAATGGGAATCGATAATCGAAATTTGAATTTTATCATTGGAATAATCGAAAACCTAAAAAATCGCTTAATTATAAGGTAGATTTTTTAAATATTTGCCCAATCGATTATCGATATAAATTATATTTATTACCAGTAAGAATATTTGGATTAATCGATTATTTTGATTAATAAATTATTTCGATTAATCGAGTATTTTGAATAAAAAATTATTTCGATTAATCTATCATTTCAACTAATCGATTATTTCGATTAAAAGAATACTTTAGATTATTTTCGATTAATCGATTATTTTTTATTAATCCATTATTTTTGATTAATCGATTATTTTTGATTAATCCATTATTTTCGATTAATCGCTCACTCGATTATTTTTAATTCATAATTATTTTTGATTAATCGATTACTTTCGATTATTCAATTATTTTCGATTAATTGATTATTTTTGACTAAATCGATTATTTTTAATTAGTCAATTATTCGATTAATCGATTATTTTTGATCAATCGATCATGCGATTATTTTTAATTTATAATTATTTTAATTAATCGATTACTTTCAATTATTAAATTATTTTCGATTAATTGGTTATTTTTGACAATCGATTATTGATTAGATTCGACAATCGATTATTTTTAATTAGTCGATTATTTTTATTCGATTTTATTCGATTGATCGATTTTTCGATTATTTTAATCGATTAATCAATTTTTTCGATTAATCGATTATTTTCGATTAATCAATTATTTTCGATTAATCGATTATTTTCGATTAATCGATTATTTTCGATTAATCGATTATTTTCGATTAATCGATTATTTTCTATCAATCGATTATTTTAGATTAATCGATTGTTTTCGATTAATCGATTATTTTTAATTAATCGATTATTTGTATTAATCGATTTTATTCGAGTAATCGTTTTTTCGATTAATCGATTATTTTAATCGATTAATCAATTTGTTCGATTAATCGATTATTTTCGATTAATCGATTATTTTCGATTAATAGATTTTTGATTATTTGATGATTATTTGCGATTAATTAATGTTTTCAATTGTTTTGTTAATCAATTTTTTCGATTAATCGATTATTTTCAATTAAGGGATTATTTTCGATTAATCGATTATTTTCGATAAATCAATTGTTTTCGATTAATCGATTATTTTCGATAAATCGATTGTTTTCGATTAATCGATTATTTTTGACTAATCGATTATTTTTAATTAATTATTCGATTATTTTCGATAAATCTATTATTTTTGATCAATCGATCACGCGATTATTTTTAATTTATAATTATTTTTAATTAATCGATTACTTTCAATTATTAAATTATTTTCGATTAATTGATTATTTTCGATTATTGAGTAGTTTCGACAATCTATTATTATCGATTAATCGATTATTTTAGATTAATCGATTATTTTCGATTAATCTATTACTTTCGATTATTCAGTTATTTTTGATTGATTATTTGCGATTAATTTTTTCGAATAATCAATTTTTTGATTAATCGATTTTTCGATTAATAAATTTTTTTGATTAATCGATTTTCAATTAATATTTTTTTGTTAATCAATTTTTTCGATTAATCGATTATCTTCAATTAAGGGATTATTTTCGATTAATCGATTATTTTCGATTAATCAATTAATTTCAACTTCCTATTTTAATTTAGATTGTTTTGGATCAATAGTTCTTATAGAGCTTGATTTTTTGCTGAACATTTTATGTTGGTATCGCTTTTCTTTTTTGATTTTTAATTTTTTTTTATTTCAACCCCCCCTTAACCCTCCCTTTTTAATTAGATTTTTTTCAAAATCAATAGGGTTTGCCACCTTATGGAGCTTGGTTTTGCTAAAAATTTCAAGTTGATATCATTTTTAGTTTTTGAATTTTTTACTGTTTCTACCCCCCTTAACTCTCCTATTTTTATTCAGATTTTTTTCAAAATCAATAAGCTTCGTCCCTTTATATAGCATGATTTTTCCTAAAATTTTCAAATTGATATCATTTTTCGTTTTTGACTTATTCGTCACAGTTTAAATTGTGTAAAGAGTATAATAAATACAAATCAAATAATTCCAAACGTGTTTTATTTTGTTTTAATAATGTTTTTCTTTAAATAATTTAAAAATATTAGTTTATAATTCACAAACGTTTTATATTGAGGTATTAGTTTGATTAAAAATATCTTATATATAAATAAACAATTTTTTTTATAATTATAATAAAAAATTTCTATATCAAGATCTACATTGTGTATTTTAGTAACATTTTTCCAATATATCTCTCATATCAAAGAATAAGTGCAACAATTACCTTCTTTAAAATTATATTTATTATCAAAAAGTTCATCTGTATTATGTTGATCTTGTTCACCTTAAACAATTTAAACCAACAAAAATACAAAGTTTAAAAATGCGGCGTAAACTAGATAAACACCTGTTAAAACTAGTTTTATTGTTAACGTTTTGAACGTAAATTTGACCTCCGCGAAGAACACAATAAACAACAGTCAAAATAAAGCAAATAAATATACATAAATTTAAATAATTTTTCAGCACTCACTTTTATTATCCAATCCCGCTTTATATTTGTCGAACCCGTTCAGTCTAACAGTCTTTCCAATGGTCTCCAAAAACTCCAAGAAAGCAGGACCGGCTTCTTCGTTATTGTACATCTCTTCTTCCGTATTTTGACCGGCCTTGCAGTACATAACGCCGACCTTGTAATGGTTCGTCAAGCCTTGCTCGTCCAGCTTCAAGATTTGCTCGATCACGTGTTGGTTTTGGCTAGCTAGTTTCAGGGCGGTCAGTTGGATTTCGGGGACTACGTATTCGAGAACTTCTTTGGTATTCAGGGTTTTTGGGTTACTGGAGGGTTTTATGTTGGGAATGGCGTCTTCCAAGACGGCGCCGCGGAGGGTTTGGAGTTCGGACGTTCGCGCAACTACCCTAAAATAATAAATATTTTAATGGGCCATGTTCACATGTGAGATATACTGTTTTATAAATTATATTGTAATAGTTAGTCGCTATACAAGTTATTCTAAATAGTCAGTTCGTTAAAAAAGCCAAAAGTTTTTAAATTAAGCCCAATTGAAATTTAAAATTTGAAATTATACGTCATCGGGAATAGACCAATCATCTTGTGTCGAAGTTTTTTTTTGTTATACAAAACCAAGCCAACGAACAAACCAACACACAGAATGTCGAAGTGAACGCACATCTAAGTGACATTAAAATTGACACCATCTAACATCAGTAACATCTAACCTTAGTTTTTTGTTTTGGTTTAATTTTATTATTAATATGAATCAGCTGGATTTATAAAAGTTGAATCAAGTGTTTTACCCATTGTAAACGAAAATATGATTACCGAGATGATTACTGCATTTTTTAACAATACTCAGTTTACAAAAGTCAGAAAGGTAAGACTTTGTTTTAATAGTAGGTAGTTACAGTTTATATGGAGCAAGTAAAACATATTTATCTCAGGTTTTATTTTTAGATCTGCCAAGCAAGAATATGGGGATAATTTCTTTTTCCATAAGAGAGAAGGAAACAAATTACACCTAAACATAAAGTACGGCAAAAACCTTCTGATGTGGTTGCGTTGTAATTAACAAAAATGAAATTTTTAGTGCACAATATGCTTAATGTCAAGGTTTGTAATATTTATTATGTTTTTTTGTTTTTATATTACATATAATAAACAGTGTATAAGGCCCTTTATTCCTATAAATATTTTTTTTCTAATTTTGACATATAGACATTTTTTGTAATCGCAGCAAGTGTTAAAATAATCTAGAAACAGATTTTGTTAGTGAACCTAGTAATAATTATGATACCAAAGAATGCTGCAGAGCACCTATGAAATTTTGAGTTAAAAAATATGCCATATTTTTAGGCTATTTTTATACCCTTTTCAAAAATTTTATGCGCCTCGTTTTTTGCAAAACTTAAAATGCTCTATAGCTTCGAACAAAGTCAGCAAAGCGCCTCTATTTTATAAAGTTTTTTCTGTAAAAACAGCAACACCATATATTTATGCACTTGAAATATTATATTTTTAAAAATACATGGTGCTTGCTAACCTTCGAAAGAAGCCAGCAGAGCAATTCGGTTTTTTAAAGCTTTTTTCTAAAAACCACACCCCATTTTTAGATTTGGAGTGAGGGTAGCCATATGTGAGTAGTAGGGATTAAGTGTAAAGGTTAAAGAAAAAGTGTGAGAAATAAAGGACTTTTTCTTTAACCTTTACACTTAACCCATTTTTAGAATATTTTTAGACTCTTGAAATATTGTAAAACTTTACTAAAAAAATTGCTATTTTTAAATAATACAGGGTGCTTTGTTGGAACAAAGTCAGCAGGACACTTCAGTTTTTTAATTTGTTTTTTTTTTTTTAATATAAAAACAACTACTTATAACACATGTTTAGGCTGTTTTAAAATCCTAAAAATGTGGTAAGTACATTTGTTTTCAGAAAAAAACTTTGAAGTCAGCAAGGAATTGCGAATTTTTTTTAAAATGCCAAATTTCGAATATTTTATAATATTGTAGGAGCCAAAAAACGTGGTGTGGTTTAAAAAAAAACTGGGGTGCTCTGCTGGATTCGTTTGAAGCTAACAAAGCATCCCGTAATTTTTTATTTTATAATACTCAATAGCCTAAAATGAGACATAGCTGTTTAAAAAAAAAATTGTATTTTTAAAAATAGCAATTTTTTTCGAAAAGCTCTATAATATTTCAAAAATGTGAAAATGTGGTGAGATTGTTTTTTTTTTAAGTTTTGAAAATCCGAGGTTCTTTACTGGATTCGTTCAGAGCTAGTAAAGCTCTGCTCGTCTTGTTACATAAAATAAAGGCATTTTGTAGCTGGTTATATAGTTATTTTGTAACTGCATATCTAACCCTTTTATTTTTTTTCAGTTGGTTGTAAATATGTGGCTTCATAGAAGAAGTGAGGAACCATCTGTAACATCTATTCAGTGTTATTGGAAAGGCTCTAAATTATCAAAATGCGTAAATATTGATGTACACTTGGCTAGATTGTTAAAGAAACCTCTTCATCCACTACAGGAAAATAAATCAGTACTTTTATATTCTTAGGATTTGTATATATATTTTTTATTTGTAAATAAATTGTTTTTTACTTCATTTTTCTCATTTTTTATTAAAAGATTAATAAATAAAATTTTCACAGATTTTTATATTTTTGTTTGTAAACAATAATTGAAGAGTTTTTATTAAAAATCACCAATGTTAATAATAATAATTTAAGTCAATATTATTCTTTCTCCTTTTTTGAAGCTACTATCAATAAAGGTATTACTTTAGCTTGACCTATGATCAATTTTTAAATTTTGTGATATATTTGGTTCAACAGAAAAAAAATTGGTTGTTTTTACTTAGATTTTCATAAAAAATAAACGGAACTGCAAACATGTTTTACTATCGTAATAACGAATAGCAACATTAAATTTTTTTTTCACATTTACCACTGTTGTCATTTTCATAAAGGATTGATAAGAAGGCACACTTTCTGGTTTTTTGAAAAAGGTAGCAAGAATTGATATTTTTAAATTTATCACCAGTGATACCACATGTAGTTACCCGATTTATTGGAATATATAGACTTTGCTACCACATTCAACTGAACTTGGTTGTTTTTAATATTTATCACTGTGACATAGGCGTTTTTGTCAAAATGTTTCATTTTAAACTGCTGTAAATAGGTGCCTTTGTTTTGGTAGTTTTAGTCCCAAAAAAATCTATGCATATACAGGTACTGGTTAAATTCTACAATTTCACCAGTAAAAACATCAACAAATTAATATTTTACACCTACTAAATAAATAAACAATTCTCAAATAGTTCGACTGCTTTTTACCCTAATATAATGTGAAGTCATAAAACTATAAATAGCATTTTTCTCAGAATACCGAACGTCGAACACCTGTGTTTTTAAGTGCACAGCTGTGCATTGGAACAAAATGAGTGTCCGGCGCATAGTGAACGAAGCACAAATGACGTATTTCATTATGTCATGATGTTTTCATTGGTTGAAACCGAATAGGTGCGTGAACTATGCCCCGGACACTCAGTTCGTCCCAACAGTATATATTAAGGTGCGCTCGACGCGAGCAGTTCAGTTGTATGTTTGCCATCATTCAGTAGTTGTCTTAGTGCCATTATCGCTAACAGTTGTTTGCTATCCGAACGTTCAAGTGCTTTCTGCCGACGGCAGCGTTTAATGCAGTTTATTTTCTGGTGCAAGTTATACTTTCTACAATTATTATGGCATAAGAAATTCTACAAACAAATGTTTTCAAGTTGGTAACTAAAAAATCAACTATATTAGTTAATCAAATTGTGATGAACTAAAATTGTAAATATTTAAAACTGTTTAGTGAAGATAAGTGAATCAACCACTATGTATTTACTTCAGTGAAAATAGTAAATTAAAACACTTCTTTTTCTACTACCTATGACTCGTTAGTTATTTCTACAAAAGAACCCAATTCTTCTAACACCAGCGACATATGCTACAGAACATTTTTACCAAAGAAATATTCGGAAGTAACACCGGTATTTTTTCAGGTACTCATTCCTCTTTGATTTGTTCGAAAAGTTAAAATTTTATAAAAAATTACATTGGCTGTTTAAAAACTCATTATAATCCCTGAAATGTGATAATTAGGTAAATTAAATTAAAAAAACAAACAAAAAAAAATTATTAAATTAATATTTACTCTTACAAAATAGGTTCTTGTAAGTTAACAAGCAATTGTGCAGATATTACTAAGTAAATGTACTTGCTTAAAATTCACACACGAATGTGGTTTTAACTTGTTAAATTAACTAACCCTTCTTATAACTCTTTCCACATGTATTCTTAGAGATGCTATTCTTTTACTTAATTGTACATCTTCTGGAGAACTTTTTTCATTCTGTGATACACTAGGTGTGGCTTTACTAAAGTGCATCCCATGTTTTCAAGTAGCTAAATATTCTGAAACCCCTATCTGCCATTATATGGGATCCAGGAACCAGTTTGTTTAAATACTCACATTTTTCTATTATTTCTTTATCACTAGTTCTTCCACAAAATGATGAATAAATTCGGTATCTTCAAAACTTTCAGGAGATTCTGCATTTTCTTCCAGAAGGGTTTTTAGGTTATACACCTAAGAATTTATAGTAGCCTCATTTTCAATTTCCTGAAGGGGACAATTAGCAGAAATTGCTGCTACATCTTGATAATCCGGTGTATTTTTATTAAAAAGTTTACGAGAAACATCGCTAGTAGAAGGTTGATTTTCTTCTTTCCAAATTTTTAGGAACACTAATAAATATTTTTGAAGATGAATGTGAATCATTATCACATTCTGGAACAAAACACTTTTTCGTAGTCATAATATTTATAAAAAGTACAAAATTAAACACTCAAATTCCAAATAAATTCTTGATCGAGACACTATAATGACAGATGCCATACACAGTGCTGCCATTTTGCCATTTTCTGAATTATTAAGTGACTTTTAAAACAATGAAACTTTAAATATGGTAAAAGTTTAAACAGAAATAATACTTTCGAAAAACATTTGATATTATATATTTAAAAGATATTTGTTTAACGATGTTTTAGAAGTCTAAAAGTAAGAAGTAGTACACAAACGAACGTACATCACTTCTCGTAAACCTTCTAGCCGGCAACGTTGTGCGCTAGCTCCTATTGGTCTATTCCCGGTGACGTCATAAATTTTTAAAAAATTCATAACTCCGGCAAATGAATAGATAAAAAAAAAAAATAAAAAAAATGTAGTTTTATTTTTAACTCTACTATTCATAAAAAAAATTTCAAAATTTTTGAACATGCCCCATTGTTAGACAGCCGTGGTTATCATTTAATATTTTGTTAATGGCAAAGAAAACTCGAAGATAATAGA